CCATATAATGGACTTCAATGGGGACCAAACGGTTCAAGGTCCAAATGAGAGTTTCAGTGCAGCTTTAAAGGGCTTTAAACGATTCCAGATGATGAATAAGGGTCTTATCAAGCGAAACGATCGGCCATTTAATAAATAAATAACAAAGTTTAAGTTTTATAAGCTCAAATGCTCGCCTTGCTCTGTTCTGTGATGCGCGTTCGTGACTCTCCAAAATGAACAAATCTTTTTCCGAGTCAACTCGTTCATTTTGTTCGTTGAATCAACCAAACGACTCATTAATTTTGGAGTTCGAACAGGAGAGTCACGAACGATCATCACAAAACAGAGAAAGGCGAGCATTTGAGCTTATAAAACTTTAAAAATGGCCGACCGTTTCGCTTGATAAGACCCCCCAGACAGCAAACTGACATTGAATCAACGTGGAAACTACGTCTCTCATGACATTGAAACAACGTTGATTTGCTCATCGAATTAACGTTGAACCAACGTCAGACGCGGCATTCTTCAAAGCTAAATGAAATCGAAAATTGGTTTGCTTTCATAACGTTGAAACAACGCGTTGATTTCATGTTGATTTTCCGTTAGTTTTGAAAGAATGACGCGTCTGACGTTGGTTCAACGTTAACTCGATGAGCAAAACAATGTCAGATCAACGTTGTTTCGATGTCATATTTCCACGTTGATTCAATGTCAGTTTGCTATCTGGGCCTTATTCATCGTCTGGTGTCGTTTAAAGCCCTTGGAACAGTTTGCACTGAAACTGTCTTTTGGACCCCATTGAAGTCCATTATATGGAGGAAAATCCTGGAATGTTTTCATCAAAAACCTTAATTTCTTTTCGACTGAAGAAAGAAAGATCTTGGATGACACGGGGGTGAGTAAATTATCAGCAAGAGTTTTTGAGTGCGTCATTGAATCATTGACTCAACCTGATTTAAAAAAAAAAAACAATGAAATTAGATTAATTAAACATTTTAAATAGACTGCAGCAATGTTTATAATCGCGGGAGAATCGTGAAATCTTCTTTTTTTTTGCTCTATGAAATAATTATGACTCACACCAACTAAATTAGTAAACCTGCGTGTGTTTGCGCTGTGAAAGTTGAACTTTCTTAACTTCATGATAAGACAGAAAGACCTCAGGCATCATCCTCTCCACTCTCTGGAACTCGTGCGCTTCAAGTGTGTTTATCCGCACCCGGAGATTGAGGGGCTCGCCTGCCTGCCTGCCCACGGGCGCTTAATAATTCATTTGCCGTGCTTGCCCGACCGTTTGATCATCTCCTCATATCTGCACGCTTTCTGGATTTTAGCATGTTCCCCTAGAGAGCCTCTTCTCATGTCTTGTTGTGTCAAGCTTGACCTACTGCCCCGCGAGTGAAAAAAGCGGAGGCCCACCGAGAAGACTCGAGGTACATGGCATTATAATTTGAAGAGCCGAGAACAAACCGCGCTGGGTTCTGACGAAAGAAAATCACACGTTTTTATTTATCTAGCGTTATCTACAAAGAATAAGCAGTAATGGTAGACCGAATGACTGGAATAGTTAGGTCTGTCAGCCCCAATCATCTCCTGGATATCATTAGCTTACAGCTGGCGTGTCTTTTAGCAAACGTGCGTGGGGTTTTGGATGCTTTACCTGACAAGGGGCTTTCAAATCATGGCAGAATCACTGGTACTTTATTATTCATTGACCAATAAATCATTCACAATGGCGTCGACGTGCTTATTTTCTGTGGTGTAATTACGGCGCGCTGAAACTCGGTTTCTCCATCACAGCGGAACGGGTCGCTAGCCCACTTCAATGCTAGTCCTCTCTCATGGTCCAGTGCACTTTGAGTAACATGTATGTGGGTGTGTGTTCGATCACGCTGCTGTTTAATTTAATTGATTTGCTGTTACAGTGGCCTTGCAGCAGCATGCAACTCTTACTACGTGCATTTTTTGGATGACATGCTAACAATGTAAATGTTTTTCCCAAAATGCAATGTGTTCATCTTGATTGATCATTTCCGGTGTGAATAGGAAGTCATTTTTTTTGTTTGTACATGGACATGCAAATTGGAAGATTCAACATGGTGACGTTATTCGAAAACAATGTTGCATACCCCTGTTTTAAACATTAACGCAATAGAGAGGCTAAGCCCCTCCCCTTCCGGTCGACCACCATGGGACCTTATTTTAGAAAAATATTGAATGGTAGTCAATGGCGAGAGATAACAAATATTTTGATCTGGTTTGAATTGTGCCCTGAATTACACATATGATGTTTGTCAATTTAAAAGATACATTTTAAAGTAAAGAAAGTCGCAGTTTGATGTAAAACCGTTGAGGTATAAGACTGTGAAAATACGTCATTACAAAGACTACAAACCCCAAAGGCGCACATTTTCTGTCAAAGCTAACTTTAATGAAGTTGACTTTACTGAAGCTAACTGAAGCTAACTTTACTGAAGCTAACTTTACTGACGCTAACTTTACTGACGCTAACTTTACTGACGCTAACTTTACTGACGCTAACTTTACTGACGTTAACTTAACTGAAGCTAACTGAAGTTAACTTTACTGAAGCTAACTTAACTGTAGCTAACTAAAGCTAACTTTACTGAAGCTAACTTAACTGAAACTAACTTTACTGAAGCTAACTTAACTGAAGCTAACTTTACTGAAGCTAACTTAACTGTAGCTAACTAAAGCTAACTTTACTGAAGCTAACTTTACTGAAACTAACTTTACTGAAGCTAACTTAACTGAAGCTAACTTTACTGAAGCTAACTTAACTGAAGCTAACTTAACTGAAGCTAACTGAAGTTAACTTTACTGAAGCTAACTAACTGTAGCTAACTAAAGCTAACTTTACTGAAGCTAACTTTACTGAAGCTAACTGAAGCTAACTTTACTGAAACTAACTTTACTGAAGCTAACTTTACTGAAGCTAACTTTACTGAAGCTAACTGAAGCTAACTTTACTGAAGCTAACTTAACTGAAGCTAACTTAACTGAAGCTAACTTTACTGAAACTAACTTTACTGAAGCTAACTTTACTGAAACTGACTTTACTGAAGCTAACTTTACTGAAGCTAACTTAACTGAAGCTAACTTTACTGAAGCTAACTGAAGCTAACTTTACTGAAGCTAACTTAACTGAAGTTAACTTAACTGAAGCTAACTTTACTGAAACTAACTTTACTGAAGCTAACTTTACTGAAGCTAACTTTACTGAAACTAACTTTACTGAAACTAACTTTACTGAAGTTAACTTTACTGAAACTGACTTTACTGAAGCTAACTTTACTGAAGCTAACTTAACTGAAGCTAACTTTACTGAAGCTAACTTTACTGAAGCTAACTTTACTGAAACTAACTTTACTGAAGCTAACTTTACTGAAGCTAACTTTACTGAAGCTAACTTTACTGAAGCTAACTTTACTGAAGCTAACTTTACTGAAGCTAACTTTACTGAAACTAACTTTACTAAAACTAACTTTACTGAAGCTAACTTTACTGAAGCTAACTTTACTGAAACTAACTTTATTGAAGCTAACTTAACTGAAGCTAACTTTACTGAAGCTAACTTAACTGAAGCTAACTTAACTGAAGCTAACTTAACTGAAGCTAACTTTACTGAAGCTAACTTTACTGAAGCTAACTTTACTGAAACTAACTTTACTGAAGCTAATTTTACTGAAGCTAACTTAACTGAAGCTAACTTTACTGAAGCTAACTTAACTGAAGCTAACTTTACTGAAGCTAACTTTACTGAAGCTAACTGAAGCTAACTTTACTGAAGCTAACTTAACTGAAGCTAACTTAACTGAAGCTAACTTTACTGAACTAACTTTACTGAAGCTAACTTTACTGAAGCTAACTTTACTGAAGCTAACTTTACTGAAGCTAACTTTACTGAAGCTAACTTTACTGAAGCTAACTTTACTGAAACTAACTTTACTGAAGTTAACTTTACTGAAACTGACTTTACTGAAACTGACTTTACTGAAGCTAACTTTACTGAAGCTAACTTAACTGAAGCTAACTTTACTGAAGCTAACTTTACTGAAACTAACTTTACTGAAGCTAACTTAACTGAAGCTAACTTTACTGAAACTAACTTTACTGAAGCTAACTTTACTGAAGCTAACTTTACTGAAACTAACTTTACTAAAACTAACTTTACTGAAGCTAACTTAACTGAAGCTAACTTTACTGAAGCTAACTTTACTGAAGCTAACTTAACTGAAGCTAACTTTACTGAAACTAACTTTACTGAAGCTAACTTAACTGAAGCTAACTTTACTGAAGCTAACTTTACTGAAGCTAACTTAACTGAAGCTAACTTTACTGAAACTAACTTTACTGAAGCTAACTTAACTGAAGCTAACTTTACTGAAGCTAACTTTACTGAAACTAACTTTACTGAAGCTAACTTAACTGAAGCTAACTTTACTGAAGCTAACTTTACTGAAGCTAACTTTACTGAAGCTAACTTAACTGAAGCTAACTTTACTGAGGCTGTCTGTCATTGTTTCTATAGTCTTACGTTATAATCGTAATGTTACGCCGTCATACTTGAGTGTATTGTACCAGACTGCACACAGTCGAGCAGCGGATCTCGCTCGTTGTTTCGCTTCCTGAGAGATAGTTCATTGAGCGATTTACACATAAAACTAAACGTTACTCTTCTGTTTTATGACAAACTGCGACGTTTTTGACTTTCAGAATTATCTTTTAAATTGACAAACGTCATATGTGTAATTCAGGGCACAGTTCAGACGGAATAAAAAGATAAGTTGTCTCTCGCCATTGACTACCACACATATTTTTCCCGAAAAAACGTCCCATGAGCCGGAAGCGGAGGGGCGGGACTTAGGCTCTCTATATGTAGCTTATTGTTTCAAATGCAATTTTTGACCAGATATTGAAGGCAGTGTTGTAAATAGTAAGCGAGTATTCAATTAAAGCTAAATGCTAATAGTATTTTGTTTTTTTTTCTTGTTTAGCCGCACCACAGTTTACAAAAAGACCTCAAAACCTGATTGGCGTCTCCGGGGGTGTTGTATCCTTCGTTTGCCAAGCCGCGGGTGACCCCAAGCCAAAAGTAACCTGGAACAAGAAAGGCAAGCGGGTGAACTCTCAACGCATCGAGGTAAGACTTTAAGGGGCAAACATATCAATTAAATAATCAACTATTCATGTAGGATTACTCGCAGGCATCTGGAACTGTTTTGGGGTTAGTTCTCAAGTGTTTATGAAGCACACAGCTTAGCTTCTGTGGATATTTGCGTCTTGTTTTCCTTGCTTGTTTGCTGTGTTCTTTTATCATAACACAGCTGGCAGCTGTAGTGTCTTGATCGACGTTTAGTGTTTCTTAATTAAAACTAGCTTGCATTTTTGTCACTGTTCAACAAAGATGAAAAACTTCCCTCAAAAAATGTGTTGGTGTTTCCGGAGCAAACCCAAGAGTACGCTCAAACTCGGGCTCAAATTATCATCTTCGTTGAGTTTAAAAGTCATTTTTTGAGGGGTTTGAATTAATTTGTTTCCCCCGAAGGCTTTGCTTTGATATTGATCTACACACACTTAGGACAGTGTGCCATCACTGGGCTGCTTCTCATTATCCTAGCCTTGAAAACTCACACACACACACACAAAAAAAAAAAAAAACCAAGAGAGTTTTGCCACTGGCTTACAAAGAGCCTCGTTCCTCTTTGTCATTCCCTATTGATTCGTGCGATTGTTTCGCTACAATGACATCAAATGCGAAAGCACCGCAGGAGCCTAATTAACTCTCTCGCATAATTTGAGCTCGCAGCAACATATAGATGCTACAGGAGCCTAAAAATAGACGCACAACCATTTTTAGCAGAATTAACTTGAATGTAAGCATAACCTGAGATGAGTTAAGGTGATGTTAAAAGATAGGGATGCTGGTTTACCAAGGAAGCGAGAACACCAGTCATTTACCAAGACTAGCGCAACCAGGAATTAAATGCCTTGCTTTTGGCCACTTAGAATCGGTAACGCTCCAGTTCTGGGATTGAGTTCATGGCCTTTTTGTCTCTTTAACCACAAGGCAATTGTTAATGACATTTATCATGAAGCTTTTCAACGAAACGTTCTCTCACACAGACGATAGAGTTTGACGAAGGTGCGGGGGCCGTCCTGAGGATCCAGCCTCTCCGGGCGCCTCGAGACGAGAACATCTACGAGTGTGTGGCGGAGAACAGCGAAGGCGAAGACAGTGTCCAGGCTACGCTGTCGATCATTAGAGGTAAGAGTACAGTCATGTGGGTTGACAGCTATTCTTGCTTTCTAGAGGGCCAAAGAAGTTTCTACACTCTCAAAAAAAAAAGGTTCACCGGGGCATGAGGTGTAAAATATACACCTTTGTGGCTTATTTAGCCCTAAAGGGTAGATATTAGTACCTTTTGAATGGGTACCATGGGTACTGGTTTGTTATAAACGTCAGAGATGTAGTTATGAGACTGCATACTTATGAATAAAAAGTGTAAATAAATAATCATCCAGATAATTATAGCCACATTAATAACGTTTGTAAGAAACCAAACCGTTTGTAAATCCATCAAGATTTCAACGAGATAAGAGTATTTGTGTTCGTGCTGACCACTCATCTTACATCAGCTTGACTGTGACAAGATGGCCGCCGGTGATGACGATAGAAACTCCGCCGTAGCACATCTAGCCTTTATATACATATCTATGGCATTATCAGTCAGACTGGATTGGAGCACTCTGAATATGTATCCAGGTTCATCTGGTTGAAGATCGCAGACATCATGCCAGATCTTGAAGAACTTGATTAGTTTGTTCAGGTGTGTTTTATTAGGATTGGAGCTGAACGCTGCTAGACGGCGACCCATAGACATATACTGTACACTAGACGTCACCTTGGGGTTCTAAGCATGCATCAAAACCGCCGCCATCTTGGAACAGGGGGTCTTGTCATAGGAAGTAGCTAGGTAACGCTACTATCTCTGCTTTTACTTCGAATTCATTGATGGTGGCGGACTTTTGTGCAGCGTATGATGTTCACGGATGAAGTCTGAACTACGAAGAATGTTTTAAAAAAAAAAAAAAAAATTTTCTTTCTGGAATCTATAATAAATACATGTCTGACCGTTGGAACAAACCAAAAAAACAAGAAAAATCGCATTCGTGATGATTTACGGTGATTTTATTTCGGTTAGACCTGTGTCTACTACATTGACGCTGATGCATTAAAGTGGAGGGGCTTCCCTGTTTCAAGATGGCGGCTCTATTGACGCATTCGTTCCAATGAACTGCCGTAGCCAAGGTGAGGTCTAGTGTATATGTCCATGGAGGGCGACCCTACTGGTAACAGGATTGAATTCCCCTGCTTTAAAGGGTTAGTTCACCCAAAAGTCATTAATTACTCACCCCCATGCTGTACCAACCCCGTAAGACCTTCGTTCGTCTTCGGAACACAAATGAAGATATTTTTGATTAAATTTGAGAGCTACCACATTGGCTCCTAAGGGAATGACTCTTGACGGCCCAGAAAGTCAATGAAGAAAATGTTTAAATATCCCGTGTGACTACAGTGGCTCAACTATAAGTTTATCAAGCGACGAGAATACTTCTTGTGCGAAAAAACAAACAAAAATAACGACTTTATTCGACTTTTCCTTTTCTTTCTTGTTGGCCTGAAACGAGATTTCAAGAGATTTCCACGACGCATGCGCGAGAACTGAACTGAAGTAGTTGAAGGAGATCGCAATTCTCGCGCAGTCTCGTTTCAGGCCAACAAGGAAGAAAATGAATAGTCGAATAAAGTCGTTATTTTTGTTTGTTTTTTCGCACAAAAAGTATTCTCGTCGCTCAGTGAGGTCGAGGACTGGAGTTGAGAAACGCTAGTTTGGTTAACTTGAATGTGACCCAATATTACCGTTGCCAGAAACTCTAAATCCATCCTGGCCAGTTGCAGAACCTCTGTCATCTTCTCCATTGAGTTATTCGTTTGTTCCCAATGCGCTGAGGCCCATCCATCTGCCTTGTCACTGCCGAGCGCTGGAGCGGCCAGCTTGCAGGCTTCTTCCTGGGCCCGAACCCAAGCCGAGGGTTTTTGTAGGCAGCCCAGTTTTACATGAAAATCCTGGCTTTGGCAAGACCCATGCGGCTCAGGAAGGGACACAGGCTGTAGCACTAGGGGGAAAAACTACTGCCCCCCCCTTCGCTCTCTCATCCCCATCTGCTGTGGGCCGCATTTACATCGAGCCTTATCAGAAGAGCAAGCCCCACAAAGGCCGACACATGTGTCCACGCGCTCCCAGAGGAGAGTGCCTCGGCTCATGAACACCTGCGTGGACTTCAATCAAAATCAATTAAACTGTCCGCCGTCGTGCTCACAATTTGTGGTCTTCTTTCATTTTGTCCCTGGCCAACTTGTGAAGCTGGTGACTTCATTAAGCACTCAGTCACCTTGCCGCCTTCTTCAGGGTGTGTCCGCCCGCCTGCCGCAGAGACGAGGCTTTGCCGTAAATCTGCCGGTGCTCTTTCCAGGGGCTTAGGTTTGTTTTTAGCTGCCCACAAGAGCGGTGAGCAGAATGCTTAAGATGTGCCATCTGCTTTTCTACCGAGTCCTCTGAGAGTCCTTGGAGGAGTCTCGGAGAAAACCAAGGATAAGACACCCGCAACTGTCGGTGCGACTCCTCTATGTCACACTTTGCTTTCTTCTCTTAAAGCCTCGCTGTTTTCCTCTTCATTCTGACCCTGGCTTCGAGCCCGTCTTGGCAGTCTTGTCCACCACTGACCCAGAGCTAGCACTTCATAGAGTCCAACAGCAACAGCAGCCCAGGTTTCGCCATCTGCTCGCACCCTGCGAGGTGTGCACACTTCTTTACACATTCAGGTGTGTCTGGCCTTAACTTGCCCCTGGTCCCGCTGTGAGAATGCTGGGTTCAGGGTTCTGGCCAACAAAAGATCAAAACGGTAATGCTGGAAGCGTTTGGCATTGTGCAACCCAAATCCGAAGGTGTCAGACCACCTTTCCATAACATTAGCTCTCGTCCAAAACCTTACACTTTTTTTTCATTCATACACCAGATGTGAGCGCTATTGCTTAAGGCAATCCCAGAATGCGCAGTGGGAAAAAAGTCGAGTACAGTTATATTTTAACCAATATTTGTGGGTTCTATGTATTGTTATGCTAACAAGAGTGTTGGGCTGCTATGTTAAAATTATGCTAATGGAAAACTCAATTGGAGATTGTCTGCTGTGTGAGGAACACTATTTTAGTTGAGTTAAAAGGTTGAAAATAGACTAAAAAACACTGGGTTAAAGGGATACTCCATTTTTTTTTTTGGAAATAGGCTAATTCATCACTCGACTGTTAAACAGTCGAGTTTTACCGTTTTCGAATGTATTTAGCCGGTTTTTATTTATTTTATTTTTTATTTATTTTTATTTTTTTTATATTTAGAAGAATATCATTAACCAGACAGTTTCTGGTCTCATTGACTTCCATAGTATATTTTTTTCCTACTATGGAAGTCAATGAGACCAGAAACTGTCTGGTTACTGATATTCTTCTAAATATGAAAAAAATCGGCTGAATGGATTCGAAAACGGTAAAACTCGACTGTTTAACTCTGGGGGGAGTGATGAATTAGCCTATTTCCAAAAAAAAGTGGAGTATCCCTTTAAAAACAACCTAAGGGCTGGTTAAATATAGGACACAACTACCCAAATGCATGTCATTTCTACCCAGCAAATTGGGTTGTTTATTTAACCCATCATACTGGGTTGATTCATTTTTACTACTAGCTTTTTTTATTATTATTTTACTTCATACATGAATTAATGTTTAATGCTAAACTTAAATTCTCTAAACATACTCCACACAACCACTGGTTTGCTTGATAATTTTTTTATTTATTATAACATTTTACAGCATAGCATATTTTATATAGTTTTGAATACATATTGTCTACATTTGAGCTCGTTATTTTACAGAAGACGCGTACCAGTTTGGCGGAGTGGCACTACTCTCTCCTTAAGAGATTGCAAAAAGCCAGCAATCAATAACTCAACCTTTGGGTTGTTATATCTGACCCAGGAACTGGGTAACACAAAAACTACCCAAACAGTGGGTTGTTACATCTGACCCAGGAGCAGAGTTATGCAAAAACTAGTTACGTCTGACTCTGGAGCTGAGTTACGCAAAAACTACCCAAACATTGGGTTGTTACGTCTGACCCATGAGCTGGGTTACGTAAAACTACCCAAACATTGGGTTGTTACGTCTGACCCATGAGCTGGGTTACGTAAAAACTACCCAAACATTGGGTTGTTACGTCTGACCCAGGAGCGGGGTTACGCAAAAGCTACCCAAACATTGGGTTGTTACGTCTGACCCATGGCCTGGGTTACGCAAAAAATACCCAAACATGGGGTTTTATGTCTGACCCATGAGCTGGGTTACACAAAAACGACCCAAACATTGGGTTGTTACGTCTGACCCATGAGCTGGGTTACACAAAAACTACCCGTACATTGGGTTGTTACGTCTGACACAGTAGCTGGGTTATGCAAAAACGACCCAAACATTGGGTTGTTGCGTCTGACCCATGGCCTGGGTTATGCAAAAAATACCCAAACATTGGGTTGTTATGTCTGACCCATGAGCTGGGCTACACAAAAACGACCCAAACATTGGGTTGTTACATCTGACCCATGAGCTGGGTTACACAAAAGCTACCCGTGCATTGGGTTGTTACGTCTGACACAGTAGCTGTGTAATACGAAAACTACCCAAAATGACCCCAAAAATGTACCTAAAAGCCTCAACCCAGGATTTGGGTAGAAAAAATAACCCAAGATTTTTAGAGTGAATCTTTTTGTCAGTTTGTCTTGCTTTCTTCACCTCTTCTCATCTCTAATCTCATCCCTCACATCCAGAGTTCACACTGTGACCCTTCTTCCTTCAAACTCTGAGCGCAGGAACTCGTTAGCACTGCAGAGCGCCAGAGAGGATGATCTCACTACTGCCCATGCCCGTTTGATCAGACGCTTTAATTGGCTGCTACCCTGCAGGACGAGCCGCGTTTGTTCTGCCGCTTTTAATTGGACTGTTCTAAACCCAGACGCTCGCCGCGGAGCCCCTTTTATTAGCCATTTTTATCACAGCTTTCGCGCTGCCATTTCCAGATTCGTCGCCGTCTTGTTTCGTCCCACTCAAGCACAGGTTGAGGAATGCTTATGTCACTTTTCTCTCTCTTTGAAGTGTCATTG